GATCCCTATCTAAAGCTTATTCGAAAGTGATCTTTTTATTCACTATAAAAAAGTTTTTTTTAATAATTTTTTGAAACAATGAGATATAAAACTTGATATCACAAGGAATAATATTTGTCTGAATGTGGCTTCCGATATTCGTTTTTAAGAAATCATTAAGCAAAGTAAATAATACAATAAGTAAAGTCGCTATTTTTTCGACCGGCGGCAGTAGCGAAGACGGGAAGCATTTTATATTATATAAAAAAAACTTGTATAAACGCATTAACACTTATGGAATATCTTATACTATATAAAAGTGAAATAAATTTTCATAAAAATTTTCACAATGGTTAGCACTAATGCGCTCATTAGGTTGAGCTGTAGGAGAACGTCCTTAAAATAAATAATTAATTACAATTTTTCAGTATTAAATTGATTGATATTATATTTAAAGTATTAAAATTTAGAATATTAAAAGCATTGTTGTTCAAAATAAATAATTAATTACTATATTTCGATATCAAATTAGCTAGTATTAGAATTAGCTAGTATTTTGTAAAAGTAGTCTATCAAAGAAGTATTATTTTATTTGGGATGTTATTACTTATTATATTCTTGTTACGAAACCTCCATAATAAATAGAATAATTTTCTCGTTTCTTTTCAACAGAAGAATTAGAAATAAAGATATGTATCATAGTAGAGACATTTCTATTTCACAAAGATAACACAGAATTTCGACATGATACGATATCGATGACGAGGAGACTCACTTCGCACAGCAAAAATAATTCGTTCATAAATTCAAACATCTTTCAGCATACGATTGTCTGCAACTTCACTTGGAATCAAATGCCGGGGAATTCATGATCCCACAGAAATCTCATATTACAACATGACTCACGCAAATGTCATTTCGATATCCTGCGTGGAATTTAATACAGACTCGACACATCTCAATTGGAATTAAATTGTACAAGATGTTTTGAGTGCTTTCTAGCAAGAGACACAGATAACACAGTGTAACAGTGAATCATTATCCTTGTTTGCTAATGTTAAACAAAGATGACATGATCATTATGTCACACAGTATCGCTTACTGGAAAACACTATTTGATATTTGCATTATGTAGTTCCGGCTCATTACAAGCTGAACTCACTCAAACGCGTTAAATTCGATCGAAGCTTACACTGTCTGATAAAAAATCGTTCACATTGAACTGCAACAGTAATAGAGACTAATCCACAATGTAGTTAAACATGTGATACCGAAATTGATAAAGCCCTTTATTCATTTTCTGCGCCTTTATAAAATGAGATTCGTCCATTGTTGTTGTATTTAAAATCTTTAAAGGGCTTCCTGCAATGGCAAACTAACTTACATTTTGTAAAAACGAAGAAAATAAACTCTAAAGTTAAAGTGATGGAAAGTATGTTTTAAAGTGATGGAAAGTACATTTATTTACATATTGTTACAAGAACTCTTTCATATTTTGATACATTTTCAAAAATTGTTCAAAAATGTTTATTACAGATTGCAAATCGAATAAGAAATATTACGAAAAGAATAATATTATGAAAAGAATAAAATTTCTCTGATCAGATTTTTATATTATAGTGATAAAAAAAATATGAATCATTTTATTGCATAAATATAATAACAATAATAGTGAGTTTAACTTCCGGAATGAACAGAGGATATAATTCATACATAATATCGACAAGAATAAATCAACAGAAATAAATCTATTTTCGGTCAAAGCGAATCTTAGTAATTAAATATTTTAAAGTGAATTTATGTACATATCCAATTCTATAAACCTCACGCCGAAATCTTTTTCGGTTTTGTGAAACTCAATTATAAACAAAACTAGAATAGTAATATTACATATTAAACTGACAATGTAATAATTTTGATGCTAATAAGTATCTTACCATTAGAAGGACATTCATAATTCGATGCTAATCTATATATAAGCATCTTAAAAACTGTGAATAATTTAATTTATTGCGAGAAATACTATTTCAGCTTGGATTCAAATCTCTTGAATCTCCTGATCATTGTGACAAATACTGTCACAGCTTTTTAAGAGTATGTTTTAATTAGCATTAAATAAGTTCTATTATAAATTCTTCTAAGATGCTCATTAACATCAAAATTATTAAATTGTCAATTTAATATGTAATATGTCACTCTGATTCTATTTATGATTGCGTTTTAAGCCCGAAAAAGATTTTAACTCAAGATTTGCAGAAATTAAATATGTACATATATAAATTCACTCTGAAATATTTAAACATTAAGATCGATATTTATAATTTGTTTTTATTTCAAGATCGTCTTAAATAATGTCTTAAGATACTATGAATACTGCCCACTTCGATCGAAAATTTATTTCTCTTAATTGACAAATAAAGAACTCTGTCACTTATCTTTTCTACACCAATATCAGCTATCACATCTTCAATTACATTGTAGAATAGCTCATTGTTGCAGTAATCCCTTTTATTGTCTTCTAATTATGAGAAATCTTGGATATTACGGTAATTCAAACTAAAATATTAAATATGTACACTTTAATATTTGTATTAAGCTGGCACACACGTTCAAGTAAATTTGCAAATTGTGGCCGGTCTAAATTTGTCAAGTAATCCTTGCGCAAGCATACTTGACAAGTTTACTTGAACGTGTGAGGAAGGCCTTAGTTCTTAAATATTTGCATTATAATTTTTGTTTTAATTATACACATTATTATGCGTTATAATTTTTATTTTTATTTTTACAAAATGTCCGAAAAATATAAATAGTACATTATTATTATACCTATAATTTATTCATTAAATTTTAATTAAATGGAGGGCCCTACTAACCAAACGTAAGAATTCTCGCTTTCGACATGTCGAAGAAGGAGCTCTACGAGCATTTCCTTGTGAGTGTTTTTAACGCTGTTTCAGGAGAAAGTTTAGCCGAGTTACATCATAGCGGTGCACGACTCGTTCGAGCGGATGCCACTAGCTCATCACTATTCTTCCTGGCTGCTGTTCTAGCCCGATCAGGTCAGGTGCTCAGATGAAGGCTCGAATAGCTTTCTTGGGTATCACGAAAACTGCCCGGGTTGGTGAGAGAGCACTTCGTGGCGATGATAAAGGGACAGTGCTCCTCAACGATGAACAAAACATTATCATCTATGCACCGCACGAACTTTTCTATTATCGTGACGAGAGTAGACATGAGGGCCAAAGTGGGAGTGTGTTACGTTATTATATTACGTTGACGTTAAAAGACGTAAGCGAAGAGACAGAGGCGGTTGGCTGCGTTGTTTTGAAACGTTATTCTAAACGCGATATGGATCGCTTGGCATTCGCGAGATTCATGTCAGAGCGTTTCTGTATCGCAAAATAATACCTTCGTCAATTCTCAGCACAATTTTATTCAAGCGTTTATACATGGGATTATATTTTCCACGCAGGATAGACGCCTCAGTGAACGGCCGATTTTAATCTCTTTAGCTAATTAATTCGTCCGAGAACTCACAATATTATGTACTCATTTATAAGAGGATTTAATTATTATTTGTGATTTAAAATGTGATAAGTCGTTTACTAATGTGCCTGTCTCATTTTTAGCTCGGCTCGATCGAATTTCACTTCGCAAAATTCCATTAGGCTTGAATATTTCTGTGCGACACCCAACAAGACGCGCTCGTACCGACTAAATTACCGCAAGTGTAGCATGCTGCTTACCAAATGCGAAGCAAATTATTCGGTCATTGTGAAATGATACTGCGATGCTGTTAACATCGATCGTGCTGTTTGGTGCGCATTTGATTACTCGATATTAGCATTGGTAAGTTATCGTAGCGCAGTCGTTCTCACAGCTAGAAATGACCAAAACTATAGTAAAATCATAAATCTGCGTATAATCGAATAACCAATAACCCGCAATAAAGGCTCGGAGCACAAACTGCTAATCGAGTCATTGGAGTGGCTGCCATCGCGTATCACTATGGCTGTGATAATCGAGACAAATTGCGCTGTTCAATTCGGCCTCCATCCATCACTATTCATACTATTATATTACAAAATTCTCGGCATCCAGCGGAGCGTTTTTTTTTTTTTTTTAGCGTGGAACGAGTGTGAGGATTCACACGGGACTCGCAAATTTTTCAATTAACGGGATCACGAGCTTTTATCGTTTTATCGAATATTATTTTATTATTGATAATTAAAAGGCATCTCATCGACAACATTGGTTATCGGTCTATCGGAGACTGTTGCCTATTGATAGGATTTGTTGAATATTTCGAGATTATTTTGATTATTATAATGAATTATCATTGTTAATTATAATAATAATATGATATGGATGCATATATATATTATACGCGCTGTAAATTAAATTAATCTACAATAACTTTTAATGAAATGTATTAAAGAGAGAATGATTAAAGCAGACAGTGCATCGACTTCGTCTGCTTACCAATATCGGTGCCCGTTCTTTGTGACAGGGTGTTAACATATTGTATATTTATATAAATTATAAAGTCGTCAAGATACATATTCAGATGCTATGTTTTTTATCATATATGGAGACAAATACGTTTTATAATTTCACAATTTTCGTGTCTTATAATTATATTATCTCAACAGAAAAATTTAAAATATGACTTACGTAAACATCATCTGAATATGTGTTGTACAGTGATGAAGGTACGCTTGTCTTTCATGCAGCCAACCAAATCTTTATGCTATGAAAGTGTGTCTGCTGTGTACATGTAAGAAAGAAAGAGAGAGAGAGAGAGAAATTGCGTGCTATAATATATAAATTTAAGTCGAACGTAACGTTTTATCGTGAGGAAAACAAAATCACGTAATATACAATATGCGTTTTATAAGAACTGGCCTTTTCTCTTTGTAGCCTCACAGTGCTAATTTCAGAAGTTTAATCTGAATGATAATCGAAACGTAATCTTTCAGGTAAGTAATACATTCTAAATAAAATTTACTTTAAAAGGCATATACATGATGACATAAAAATTTGTATGACACAATTTTGTGTATTTATTAAATTATTACAAGGAGAAGCGGAGAGAGTAACAAGCTAATTATTAACACTAAAAATTTTGATATCAATTGACAATTGACATCAGCTTGCCACGAAGTAGTATAACATATATTTATAAAAAATTCTTAACTATTAGTTATACTTTTATTATCCTTTGTAGATGCCGTTTGATCTCGTTTTATTTTACAAATTATTCCCTCAATTTTTATAAAACTTGGTCTATAGAGAAATTTTTTATAATTAATGCTTTATTCGAATCTGAGATCAAAAATAAAAAAAATTTTTAATGCTATACTTAATGACGGACAAAATTTCAAAAAAAAATAATTTGCTTATCATAAAAGTCGATTTAAGGAATTTTTAATTGCGAAATATACATATGACAAATTTCTAGTTTTGATTATTAGTGCTCCGTAAACAATTAATACTGATCAGTTAATATTGAATAGTTACTGATTTTCAAACTGACTTTCACACACTTAAGAATTCTGTGACACTAGATTCTCTCTCATGGAGCTTACTATCCTATTAAAATTTGATATTCATTTCATGCCACATTCAAACTCAGAAGTACCAAGAACCTCCTAAATCCGAGTTTCATAATAATTAGTATTATTTTTATATTATTAATTTTTATATTTTTATTCACAATAATTATATTACAAGTATTATTTTAATATTTCTTTTTTAATTTGAAAAATTCTGAGATCAGAATCGAATTCAACTCCAAAGAAGTTACTTTAAAAAGTAAAATCATCCATAAGCTTGTTAGAAATCTCTGATTCTTAAAGAGATAAATAGAAATAAAAGAACTTGCACCAAAAAAGATTTTTACCGAACTGAAAACTAATCTATTGCCTAAGAAAATGTATCTGTGGAAAGATGTGCAGTCATCATTGATGCATTTTCAAAGCATCTTAAAGATTGGATGAATTCAAGTCAACAAAGCGACTAGGTCTGCTCACAAGCTGAGCAATTAAATATAATTAGTTGGATCCACAGGTAAGAACCAATCATTCATGCTTCACTCGGCAAGCATGCCTAGCCACTTTGCCGACTTTTCGGATTCGTTTATTGCATCAAAGTTAAAAGTGGATATTTCGAATGTCAATTATAATTTTTTGTATTTAATAAAATATAATCAAATTAATCTAATTTAATCTAATTAATTTAATTAATTAAATGTAATATTTATTAATATAATTAATCTAATTTAAAAATATTCAAATATAACAGTCCACACACACAGTTTTTTTTTTATAAATGTGCATTACTAATGATTTGATAAACACAAAACTATGTGCCCAAACTTTTTTGTCATCCTGTTATAATAAAAGTTACAATAGCAAACAGCTTGAAAACAGCTTGAAATGACATAAAAATACTTCAAATACCATTTTCTGCGAATTTCAGATTATATTCCCTTTTACATAACATTTGTTTGATCATGTTAAAGGATTGTCACGCTTTGACTTATTTGAATCGGAAAAAGTATCGGATTTGACAATGTATATACATTACGCTACACAAATGTAGGGTCGGAATATAGGGTCGTTGACGCAAAATCGTGCGCAAAGTTTTGTAAATCGAGCATAGCGAATTAGAATTCCGCACGTACAGCTGACGTTGACGACATCGTCTCTTCCGTAGTTTGTGTCGCGTGTCTCGTTCAAACGAGGCATTTCCTCTCTCACTCAGCTTACTCGATTTGCAGCTACAACGCGACCCAGAATACATATGCGAGATTTTCATTGATTAAAAAATGAAGAAATGTCTGAACTAGTCCTAGTTTGCAAATCTTTATTAAAATTCTCGAGTAAAAATTATTTCTAAAACACTTGAAGCTTCTCAAATTATAGTACATAAATATAGCGTATATGTTTAGTTTTTAAAGAACGGGAATTTTTATTTTCAAAATCTTATAACTTTTCCTTGATTTAAATTTTTAGATTGATTATAATTCATTATATGTCATTATATCCTTTGTCATTATATCCTCAAAATATAACACTATTTTAGTTTATACATTTTAGTTTATACAGGCTTTTTCAGCTCTGGAATATATTGGACTGAGCCATCAAGAAGTGGATGTACCTCAATTCCTAGACAATGGCACTCTGATGCAAAGATTGTGTTCTTTCTTCAGGGATTCATTGATTGGTTAATATTGTTTTTATAATATAGTAAAAAAGAGTCAGAAAAACAAATATTTGTCTGTTGTACTTTTCTTTATCGGACCGCAATTTTCTATATTTTATTATAGAAAAAGTGCGCTCAAGTATATTATAAAGTTCATTAGAATTTTCTATAAAGATTAAGTTTTACTTTTATAAAAATTGAATGGATTATGAGAAAAATATTCACAGTTCAGTTATAAACAGTTATATACATTATACAATGAGAGTAAATACGTGTAACTTCAGTTTATTAGATTCTAATTAATAAGGAAAACTAAATTCTAAGGACTAAATTAGATTCTGAGAATTCTAAAGAAAACGTCATTAAATGAGCGAGTCTGTGTTTCTCTTGAGAGAAATATCAGACACGCGCAGTGCTTATGTTTTATGAAAGGAAGGTATGACTCAGCTCTTACTCATACGTCCAGCTAACAAAGCGTTGCATCCTTCCATATACAGGCCGTTTTCATGCCCAGTTGCGATTAAAAGAGCGACTGTAAAAATAACATAGTCAAATTCCAATGTTTGCTAGTATTCTCGTTTGCTAACCTCGACTGAGATTATTTAACGAGGTTTGAGCCAAAAACCGAGACTGAGCCGTGCTCTTCCGTTCCGGGGCAAGACCCATTTCCGGGACGACGTTCCGTTACTTATCGTACTGCATATATGGTAGAACGGTCGCGCTCCGCTTCTCATCGGGAAATTGAAGCCGGCGGAACTTATCATCATCCTAAGCCGCAAGTGGAATACGCCGCGAGTAACGTATGGAGTATATACGCGGGAAGTAGCTCGGATAGTACACCGACAGATTGGACGTGGCTCCATCGATCTCGCCGTTGGACCTCCAGGAACTCTATTCATCCGTGCGCGGTCCATCGACATTCAACGAACGAGATTCTTCGTCTTCTGAGGGTAACTTTTCACGTTCCCTTTCGAAAGCTCGTTCAAAAGCAGCGAAAATTTTCTTCAAACACTGTGCGGATACTTCCAAGAATTTTACCGATAAATAAATATATTAAATTTTGTCCGCAATGACAGCCTTATTTAATATTAGTCAATTATAATATACGTAGATAATATATATAATTAATTAGAAATATAATTATATAATATCATTAATTATTTTAAAAACCATAAATTGATTTTTAAAGATTAATGCCCGTATTCATAGTAGACCTTGTACTTAAAATTTCCTTAAATTTATCTTTAGATGCTCAGCAGCAAATGAAATAATTCGTAGAGTA